ATTTGAATCATATACTAATCATTATATGGCAATGAATTTTTTTTTTTTCTTCGATGGATATATGGCAATGAACAATATTGAACATACCAACTAACTTGGTCACATTTTTATTTGGGGTGGGCTTCGGCAGCCACATCATTTACTGAACTGAGTTTATGGGCCGTCGATGGGTATTTCGGTTCGGTAGATCTGTGGTAATCAGCCCTTACACCCTTGGACCCTTCTGTGTTTTTTCTTGATCAACCTTGGACCTCTGGTTCAGGAATGACAAAAGGCAAATTACCATATTACTGAGAATCTGAGACAAGGTGCATCTTGCCTAAATCCTGACCGAGTTTTGATGCACAGATGTCGTGCCCTTCTTTAGAGTAATTGGTGTTGTGAGTTTCGCCATGTATTCAAGTTAGCCAAATTCTTGTGCAGATGCTATGGCTTCGAAATTCTATCACTTGGGCAAGGTTTGCATTACTTATTTCAATGACCCATAAGCAGAAAAATAACAAATGATCTTATAGGTGTCTGTAGGTCTCATGCTTTTAAATTATTCAACGTAAAAATGCACTACACATCATTCCCAAAAAAAAAAAAAAGTATCATGTTCATGTATTTATTGCCATACGTGTTCTTTTTCAGTTTTTATTTGGATGACAAAATAAAAAGCAATATTTTCTTATCTCTTAATTAACTCACTCAAAAACCCATATGCTTAATACTTAGCAGTTAGCACTAAAAACTACTTCGTTGACAACATGTTCATATCTTATGAGAAGAGTATACATATATATATATATACCTTTAATAAGCTTACAGACATACACATTTTCACATACTGACGATCCCTCCTGAAAAGTACAAGAGCAAATTGAACCCTAAATTTCAAAGATTAGTCCAGAATCCTGATCAAAACACATTGATGTACAAAATCAAAACATATATATATAGAGAGAGAGGATTAAGTTCGGAGACTTACCAAAAAGTATATACTTTTGTACATCTTATAATTCTATATATATACGCAGAAGCAGAGTTGTGCTCTCTCATATTGTTCTCTAGTCCATGCAAACCAACCAAACGTATATATCCGAACCAGAATCAGGTGGTCCATGCAAATCTTTATCCCCTATATATACATAGAAAATATATCAAGCAATGCAAGCAAAAATGCACCAAAATCAAAATCAGTCATCATCTAAAATATTAGTACTAGAGGTTAAGAGACTACATTGCAATATATATGGTATTTAATTAATCCATCCATGCAAATACATATATGTTGCTAATAACCTAAGTAAGTCAATGGTAATTTCTTTCAAGTCACATGACATATGGATATGTATAAGTTAAAGGATAAGCGAGGATTACCTCATTGTACAACTTAAGATAAAAAAAAAAAGTTACATATGCCTCAAATCTATAAAAGAAAATTTCTGGTGTGTATATATACTAAATACATATATGGATGTATTACCTATCATCTAGCTGCATGTGGTCTAATTTCTCAGAAGGCTTGAACGTGGTAACCAAGGGGGTATGCCCAACAAACAACGCAACATGACCCATCAGCTTATCTTTTCTGGAAAAAGTAGTACCACAAGAACACTGCCATTTCAGATCACCACAGTGCTTCTCATGAGTCCTGAGGTCCGACAGCACCGAGAATTGCTTCCTGTTACACCGCTTGCACACGTACATCTTCGGGCAGTGGCTCCTCTTGTAATGATTCTTCACACAAATCATGGACTTCAAGGGCTGGAACTTGGCATGTTTCTGGTTCCACCTACACCCTTCTTGAGGACACGAATATTTCTTCGGTAATTTCATCGAACTCTCTTTGCCCAATCCTCCGCTGTTCTTCAAGGGATTGGTGAGAGCAGCACTTGTTTTATATTCATCGCCATGAGCTCGCATGTGCATTCTCAAATTGGCATCTCGCTTGAACCCTTTCCCACAAACTTGACAGTAATGTGTGTACTTGGCCAACAAATCAGAAGCATCCACTTCTATTATGTCGTAGTTCCTATGCGAATCAACGGCCGATACCCTTTCATCCCCTGAAAACAAATGATCTTTGTTTCGTACCTTATTATTGCTAACCTGAATCCGATTCCGACCGGTATTGCAAATTTCCCCATACCAATGAATAGTTTGATGATCAGTTGAATACAACCTGGCCTGGGATGGTCTCTCTCGAACAATGTTTCCAACCTCGCCAAAGTGTTGAGAATTAGACAACACGG